TCAGAGAATCATGGTGACATGTAGAATAAAGCCATGTGGATAAACCATAATTTTAAGCTTAATTCTGGTTCATTGTTCCGACCGAACAGCACGTCACAGATGAGTAGTTTGAAGACCAACAAAGAGTTCAACAATCCAACAATTTATTCTGTTTTTAAAGTTTCTGGTTCTGATAAATGGTGGAATATTTAACAAAGATAATAGGATTTATAAAACCCGCAGAGTCAGATTTCTAAATTATGAAAACGGATCAAAAGAGACGTTAAGAAGTTTAGTTTTCTCTCAGAAAGAAGTTCTGGAGAATCCAGTGATGCCAAAAAAATCAGTTAATCATTTCCATATAAAATCCTGCTCTCAGCTTTAAAACCGCCTCAGTTTACCAGAAGAGCACAAACTGAACTCTTAGGTGAATCTTTTTATTTTATGGCCTTTTAAACCATTGTTCATACTCGTTTTGTGTTTTTTGGTTATTTTTTTCATCTGGGTTTTTCTGGTTCAGTCCAGCCGTTGCTGAAGGCTGGTGCTTCTCCTCTGACCGGATTAACGGAGGAGGATGTGGATTAGCGCTCGGCTCTCGTGTGGATAAGATGAAATGACGGGCGTTGCTTTGTAGTTCGTTCACGTCATGTGGAGGAGGAAGGTGGAGCTCGGAAGGATTCTCACGGATGCACATTTTTCGTCGCCGTCGCAGAACTCGAGATGCTTAAAAAAGAAACGACTGTAAATTACACACTGACCCACTTTTTATCCAGTAGAAGTCGTGATGCAGCAGATTTGATGGAAGCGGCTGTGGCTGGTTGAGTTAAAAATGAAGGTGCGTGGATGCCTATAGCTCGACATCTAACTGGTGTTAAAGACGCCACAGACTGAGCAGTGAAGCAACTGAATATTCAATAGAGCGGAAACAGAAAACTCTCAGAATTTTTGTCACCTCGCTGTTGGTCACAGCTGAGTCGCTGATGGTTTCACGGTTACACACAAAAATGCAGAATTTTTAGTTTTTTACATAATCTTGTTATTGTAAAGGGTGTATTTTTAATGATTTTTTTAATACACCATTATGATGAAATATCTCGATTTTGGATGTGGTTAAATTTGAAAAACAAACAAACAATAATTTGTTTAAAAACTGAAATCAGCATTTTTAAATGTCCACAGGTGAAAATAATGATTCTACATACAATAGACCTTTAAAT